GTTTCCCTGACGGTCCACGGAAACCTGTTGACAAACCTTCAATGCTTGCTTGTCGGTTACTCACTACGTTTTTGTCTATCCAGCTTTTTTTAACTGTGTGACCTGCATTTACCCATGTCTCGTCCAAATATAGATTTTTCTGCTTTGTCGCCTATATTCAATCATTTCGCGTAGGTATTTTCGATGCCAGGCGACTATTTCAGGTCTCTCTATCAATACTGACTTCCGATTACGCGTTTCGTAATGAAAATTAATTTCGTGCAGGGATTTCCTCATTACCTCGACGCTCATTTGGGGTATAATTTCATTTTCCTTGATCGCTGCATGTACAGCCTTGAGGGTTGGTATCTCATTCCTAAAGAAGAATGAATGTACGGTTCGCCTTAACGCCATTTTGCTATCGTCATCCAATTTAACGGTCTTTCGTCTCTTCAAATTAAACTTTGGATCAGTAGTAGCTCCTGTTTTCTTCTTTTCATGCACCACCCTGCGAATGGTCAACTCTGGAACGCCTGTTACTTTCACAACGCGCGAATGCATCTCCCTGCGACATAGTTCTGTTCAGATAATTGAACACGTTGAGCACGATTTCTTTCGTGTCCCTCTTCAGTGCTTTACGAAGCCGTCTACTTGTTCCCTGGCTTTTAGTACTTCCACTCGTGCCATTTGTACTCTCCATGGTTAAGTATAACCAAAACAGTAACCACAGAAACCACAACAATAACAATCACACAACAATTCTTATAAAAACACACCATATGCGATCGCTCAACGAAACACGTTCCAATGCGTTGCCGACGCCTATGAGTCTGCCGGTCGAGGCGTGTCTTTGATTTCATCGGTTCTACCGGCGGAGAACAATCAGCTATTATTTCCATCTCTGTCTGTGCTGTTGACCACCGCAAAGCCACAGAAACGACATATGTCGTACGCTATACGGCTGTAGGAAGGAAGCCGGGATCGAGCTCTGATCACGTGTTGATCACGCGTATGAGTCATTACAGTTTTAAATAGTTGTAGTATAGCGTACCGTACCTTCGGTTTTTTAGACGTATACGATTGTTTGCTTCTTGTCCAGCTGTCTCCTTGACTTACCAGTAGTAGACGAGCACACCTATATCGCACTGACGAGGGCTAATGACCCCGAAACAGTACTGTCTGCGGTTGGTTATGGTTTAAGGGGGCAAGAAGGAAAAATCTCATTTTTTTCCATAGTTGGATGATTTATTAACGGTTGATTTCTTTAAATAGGAAAGTACAATTGTTCGCGATAGATAACTATCACTCTTAGCCAAATATCTTAATGTCACTAGTAATCTCACGCGGGGCATTATTGCTTGCCGAAAGTTGGTATCACATTTTTTATCATAGGTAAGATTTTTTCAAGTATGTTGTGAAAATCGTCTTTACTCATCCGTGTTAAATTTCGAAATAAAGCATCATGGTCAGCCACCAGTTGTTGTACAAACTGTACTGAATTTCTTGACCATCTGCGCGTATGGTTTCTTCTCCAATATTCTGGCGTTTTTCTTTTTCTTTTACGATCCGAAGAAATTACTGAATAAGCAGCGGCCGCGACTGTCTGTAATGACATGGCGTACTAAACTGGAGCTGCTTGAATTGAATCGTGAAGATGCATGCTACACTCATGTACGACCAAAGCACATGCTACATAGGGGAACAAAATCCGCATGCGGCATTAATAGAATTTTGGAAACACTGTAGAACGTCAACAAGATGCAACACTAGGAAACAAGTAGGATGTCACATGTTCATTGTTGCCTCTGTGGAATTGCGCTTTTAGCCTTCATGGATCAACATCGCATCAGCCGTTTACCTTGACCACCACGATCGCCTGACCTATTTTCCAATTGAACACGTCTGGGACATGACAGGTAGCAGGCTCTTGAATTTACAACACCTTCAACACATTATTGAACCAGCTTCTGCAGTAGTTGACGAATGAAGCAGAACATTATTCATTTTACTATTAAGGGACACTGAACATACACGTATATGCCAAAAATTATTGGAATCGGATAAACATACTTAGGTATTTACCTTTTTTTTTTTCACTCAGTATAAGTTCGAGTTCGGGATGATTCTCCACAAGGTGTCACTCATTTTCGCAAGCCAATTTCGACCATGAGATATTGTGTTTTTAGATGTTATGTACATTATGAAAAACCATGCCATTCATTTCCGTCGGTGTTTCAGACTGTCTGTTTGTCTGACTGTCCTCTAATCCTTGGCCCATCTAAAGCTTGAGGAGCATCGTTTGCGTGAAATTTTAACACAATATTGCTACTATACCAAGGGCAAAAAAGATCTGTAGTTTTTGAAAATCGGTTCATCACCGGCAGCGGAGAAATAAACAGAAAATGAAGCCAATGATTGCAATCAGATCGTAATCTGCTCGATTACCCTTAAGGATTCCTGCTTTATAATTTTACTGTACTTGAATTTATTTTATTCTTATCCCAATGTGCAATAGAGATAACTTCTTGTTCATTTCTTTGTGTATTATGGGAGCTCTAATGAGCAACTCTACAGGGTTATTTTAGGTAAAATCAGTAAAGTAAAAACAGTAATCGTATTTGCCATTACAATTTGTAAAAACGTTGTACCATACCTTACCATGATTATAAGGTAGAAAGTAAATTTTGCCCACATTGTAATCACTTTTTATTTTCTCTTTTCTATGATTTTTTCCAGTACGTGAAATATTGTATTCTCTAACTGAAAACCTTTCCTGTGCTATACAGGGTGGCCCATCCATGTGTGGACGGAATATTACTCATAAACAAATACACTTTGGGAAATCTATTTATACCATATCATACGTGACATTTGATGACACATTTATAAAATACTGGCTATTATGCAGGGTGTCCCAATTTCGACCTACATATCAAAGTTGTGATTTTTCAAGTGGAACGCCTCAAATTTTATTGCATATTTGGATAAACCAATTCAAAAGGAGAAAATTGATATAACATACTATGGGGTTTTGGTAATTAGCTACTGAGATATAAGGTGTTTGTCTAGAAAAACCCCCACATCGGCAACCTCTCAATCCGTCATTTTGAAATTTGGAGTAAAAAGAAAACTTGCGCACCTCAGCTTTCAACTTGTTAGTTACTTTTTCGAATTTTAATTTTTGCTCATACAGGGTGGTCAAAAACGCGAATTGTACTTTTTATAAAAAATCTCAGATGCAAGTTTTGATCCAATTTTTCATAAGCTTTTTTTGTATAAGGTTTGATTCAGACAAAATCACTAGATTTTGAGTTATTAAGCTTTTAATAGAACAACACACCAAAATTAAGGAAAAAAATCACATCATCCATGGAAACAAAAGACAAACAGTGGGCTAGTTCCATATTGCCACTAAGAGTACAGATTTGACGTACAAACTAATAACAATCAGAACAATATGAATCAGCTTCAAGCGTAATAGAGAAAAACAACTATAACAACAACATAAACAGACAACTATCACTACTCAACACCTAATCTACAAAAACTGCTCAAAAATATCTCCACCATGATGGATACACAACCGTACTCTTTGAATTTTTTTTTTTTTTTATATCGAAACAGCCGCGCATGCAGAAGCCTAAATGCCGGAACACCGCGGCTGCTATGATGATCCCAAAGAAACCTTGTTAATACGATTTTTGAACTGCCTAAGGTTAGTAGAACTGGGAAAAGCTTCCTCCCGTAGTTTGTTCCACAATCTAGACACCCTCGGACAAAGGAGCGGTCGTATCGGCTAGTTCTGGATGTACGAAGTTTGACACGGTTAGGATGGGACGCCGAAGTCAGGCGGGTCTGTCTGGCAGGCACATCGCGCGGCGGCATCATGGAAGAGAGCTCTGAGGAGCAAAGCCCGTTGGTGTAGCGATAGAAAAGAGCCAGATCGCCGACGGCCCGCCGGTGCGAAAGAGTCCCGAGACTGTCTGTTAGAGAAGAGTCATCGATCAGTCGGACCGCCCTCCTCTGGACAGCATCGAGCATGGACAATGTAGTCGGGGCGGCAGCACCCCAAATGTGTGAGCAATACTCGAGGCTAGGCTTTATCTGGGCCTTGTATAGAGTGAGAAGGTCATGCGGAGAAAAGTACTTCTTAGCCCTAAACAAATAGCCTTGCTTTTTCCCAGCAGCTGCAGCTATTGAAGAGATGTGTTCGTGCCAGATCAGGTCCTCGGTGATCTGGACTCCGACCAGCCGAAAAGAATGGCTCTTTGGTAGGACTCGACCGTCCATCGAAACTGAGCGCTAGGACGCTTTTTGTTCGTCAAAGTACAGTACTGTGTTTTGGAAGCATTGAACTGTACAAGATTGTTGCGTCCCCAAGCAGTGATAGCCTCCAGGTCTCTTGTCAGAGAAGAAGTCGTCGCTAGTCTTCTTTTTTCCAGCTCAGCGGCAGAGATCGGCTTGTCACTCTGAATTCCTGCATGTAGAGTGCTATCATCAGCGAAGCTGTGGATTGGGTTGATCGTGCAGGAAAGGAGGTCGTTGATATGTAAGAGAAACAGTGTTGGAGCCAAGACCGATCCCTGGGGAAAACCCGCGTTGACGTTGTGGGATGAAGAGGAGAATCCGTCAATTACGACGGATATCTTGCGGCCAGAGATAAAGTCAGCCACCCATCTGCAAAGCTTTTCTGGGAGGCCGTAGGATGGAAGTTTGCTCAAGAGGGCAGCGTGCCACAGCTGATCGAACGCTTTCGTGATGTCAAGAGCTTCACCATGAGACTGGATGAGTTTACTCCACAGTTGCGTGACGTAAGCTAGGAATGAATGAATGACCGTTCCACATCCCTCAGCACGTCAGCATGTCAGAAAAGCATCCTTAATCCTTTACTTCATATTTTCCGGGGTAGATGGTGGATATCTATAAACCTCTTACTTAACGTAGCCACACAGGAAGTGTCATATCTGGTGATCTAGGAGGCCAAGATATAGGTCCATCATGACCGATCCAACGATTGTTACTCCAGGTGTCCAGATAGTTACGCACACGATTATGATAATGCGCAGCTGCGCCGTCATGTTGGAAGTACATATGCATCCACAATACTACTTAATGTTAAAAATTTTTACTGCAGTTGCTAAAAAATGAAGTAGCTCTGCTGAAATTTGTCACTTACATTGTTATTAGGTGCATATAACTGAATATTATCACTCCAAAATTCAATCATGGCTTCGTTTTGTTCATGTCAACTGAATATAAAATTTCATGCACATTAAATCATTTTTGCTAGGTCTTCTGTGTCACTGAATAAACAATTACCAGCTGCAGATTCTACCAGAGTTTATTGCTTCAACTCATCGTTTATTATTCATTCATTAAAAAGCTGTAATTTACCTTCTAACAGATTTATTGATGATTTTATAAAAGAAAATATTTCAGCATTCAGATATGCCAGCTATGTCCCATTTCCTAGGAGGTCCCAAGACACCAGTCCTGTTGTCTCCCCTGAGAAGTGATAGCAAATGATTCCCTTCTTTGGTAATCTTCTGTATCCTGTTATCATTGCTGATCTTTGCGTTTGGTCGGTACTCTAATACACACTTCTCTTGTACTTCAGAGTCCACAGAGCCAGGTCTCAAATAGCGAAGGTTCCTTAGTGCTTGAATGGGCTCCATGCCGTGGAAATACATTAGATAGACAGCAACCATAACACCCGTCCGGCCAAGGCCCATACGGCAATGAACTCCAACTGGCTAAAAAAAAATGGCGGCAATTAGGTTGACTCTGACTCAACGTTAGCATTGATTCGTATAGGATTCGGCACAAGTTAGCTCTTCTGAGAAAAAAGTTAGCTACGAATATGTACAAAAAATTGAAGTCACACAAACAGACTCGTACAATTAAAATTTACAAATCTGGCATGGTGTTGTGTTAGAAAATATGCTAGCCCCACATCTGACATCGATGACAGCCTGTGATGACAATCAGTGTGAAATGCAAATATTAAAGCCTCTTTTAAGTGTCCCGCAAGGAAACCTTATGGCTGCATTGTTTCCAAGGGTAGATCCACCTTGTCTCCAATATAGATATTTCACTGTCTAGGCTGCATAACTGGTTTCCGAACAGTAATTTGTATAAAAGTCTAAAGAAGACACAAAGTATTAGATTTCACGCAAGAGAAAAAATTGCAACAACTAATTTTCAAATTGAATAATATTAATATCGATAATGTGTATTACGTATATATAAAAAGCCATGGTATGTATCAAAGGGATTCCTATATGGAGTACAAGTAGCACTGCGACTATGTAATAACGAAGCTTAATTCATTATAGGATCTATTATTCATTTCCGGAGATATTCTACCATTAACTTAATTGATTAGTTTGTATTATGCACATCGTTGACCCTGTCACGAGATGTAGCATATAATTTTGGATACTCTGTACGAATTCAAAGGACGTGTTCTTGAAACAAAAAAATCTGATGTATAGCAGGTGTTAGTGCTAGAAAGTCATGTAGTACTACAACTATTTAAAACTGTAATGACTCATACGCGTGATCAACACGTGATCAGAGCTCGATCCCGGCTTCCTTCCAGTACAGCCGTATAGCGTACGACATATGTCGTTTCTGTGGCTTTGCGGTAGTCAACAGCACAGACAGAGATGGAAATAATGGCTGATTGATCTCCGCCGGTAGAACCAATGAAATCAAAGACGCGCCTCGACCGGCAGACTCATAGGCGTCGGCAACGCATTGGAACGTGTTTCGTTGAGCGATCGCATATTGTGTGTTTTTATAAGAATTGTTGTGTGATTGTTATTGTTGTGGTTTCTGTGGTTACTTTTTTGGTTATACTTAACCATGGAGAGTACAAATGGCACGAGTGGAAGTTCTGAAAGCCAGGGAACAAGTAGACGGCTTCGTAAAGCACTGAAGAGGGACGCGAAAGAAATCGTGCTCAACGTGTTCAATTATCTGAACAGAACTATGTCGCAGGGAGATGCACTCGCGCGTTGTGAAAGTATGACAGGCGTTCCAGAGTGGACCATTCGCAGGGTGGTGCATGAAAAGAAGAAAACTGGAGCTACTACTGATCCAAAGTTTAATTTGAAGGGACGAAAGGCCGTTAAATTGGATGACGATAGCAAAATGGCGTTAAGGCGAACCGTACATTCATTCTTCTTTAGGAATGAGATACCAACCCTCAAGGCTGTACATGCAGCGATCAAGGAAAATGAAATTATACCCCAAATGAGCGTCGAGGTAATGAGGAAATCCCTGCACGAAATTAATTTTCGCTACGAAACGCGTAATCGGAAGTTAGTATTGATAGAGAGACCTGAAATAGTCACCTGGCGTCGAAAATGCCAACGCGAAATGATTAAATATAGGCGACAAAGCAGAAAAATCTATTATTTGGACGAGACATGAGTAAATGCAGGTCACACAGTTAAAAAAACCTGGATAGACAAAAACGTAGTGAGTAACCGACAAGCAAGCATTGAAGGTTTGTCAACAGGTCTTCGTGGACCGTCAGGGAAAGGTCAAAGATTGATCGTAACTCATATTGGTAGCGATAGTGGCTTTTTAGAAGAGTGTGACTTGATTTTCGTCTCTAAGAAAGGAGGTGATTACCATGACGAAATGAATGCCAGCTGCTTCGAGAGCTGGTTTCAAGGGGTGCTTCAGCGAGTTGAGCCCAACTCTGTGATCGTCATGGATAATGCTTCCTACCATAGTCGTCGAGCCGAACGTGTACCGATTATGGGATCTCGAAAAAGTGACATGCAGCAATGGTTGCGCGAAACAGGAATCCCGTTTGACGATTCATGTGTGAAAGCGGAATTGTATGAAAAAATTAAACAGCACAAACCTGCGAACATTAGTTACGTGTCTGAGGAGATGGCCCGTCAATGTGGTGTCACTGTGCTGCGGTTACCGCCCTACCTCTGTGAACTGAACCCAATAGAGCTCATCTGGGCTCAAGTGAAGGGTTATATTGCGCGCCATAATACAACCTTCAAATTACCAGACGTTAAGGTTTTACTTGAGACTTCTATACAGCTAGTAACGCCCGAAGCTTGGCAGAATGCTATCCGTCATGTTGTGAAGGAAGAAACAAAAATATGGCAGCTTGACCACCACATCGACACCATCATAGAGCCAGTTATAGTCAATTTCAACGAGGAAAGCGATAGCGACAGTTTATTACTGTCAGATGTAAGTGGAAGCGACGATGAATAAAGGTAATTCCCAAATTTTTGACTTACAATATGTTTCAAACCACTCTTTATTAAGCATGTGACAAATCTAATTCACCCATGTTAAACATTCATACCCCGCCTATGAACAGCCGACTACTGGTAGTTACGTGATGTTCACGTGAACATCGATGAGTCATTACAGTTTTAGATAGTTATAGATAACAGTTACTGGTTTATGCATATTGGAAACTTGCTTATACATATTTAAAAATAGAGAAAAGTTCCCAGCACATAGCCAAATCTATTCTAAAAGTATATCCAACTTTGTATTCGCAACCAGTCCAGTAATTATCCTAAATTCTTGCAAATAGTAAAATGATAAAATTATATATTTAAATATAAAACGAGACTGATAAGAGAAAAGCCGTTATACGCTCAGGCTATTTAAGCAGTAACTGATATCAGCTGTGTTTATTCTTAAAACAATAATTTGTTTATAGTATGTTTTTGCACAGTAAGCTCGTGTAACATTGTCAACATTACATTAAACAAGGTCATCATATCGTGAACTTTTTTCTAACAGAAAGTCGCCTTATATTCAGAGAACAAAGAATAGAAGAAAACAATCTACTGAAGCATCATGTCTAAGGCAGGTAAAGTCAAGTTTTATTCAGTATTTACCATAGTATATGTCGGAAAATGAAGCCAGTTATCGAAATATTTGTCATCTTTCTTAGCCCGTTTAGATCAAACTATAATAAACCATAAGCTGACAAATAAATCGGATGTGTCATATTGACAGATACATGTGCCCAGTCGATAGGCAATATAGCTATAATATTTGTTATAAGGTAGTCTTTCGCTACGTTTACGGATTTGAACAGGTTGATCGTAGGACTATGCACGAAAATTATGTACCGTTATTAACACTTAAGATCGTGCTCTCAACAGGGTGGGTCAAGCCTTCAAATAAGTGGGATTGGATCAAGATTTGGGTTCAGCTTTATAGATATAAATACTTTAACCCTATTTCAGAAATTTTTTGGGCAAGTCCATACCAAAGCAAATGTCACTTGTCAAATGCTGAATGTGAAATATCGTTGACCTATTCGGGCAACGATACTTAGGACCATACAAACCCTGAATAAATTGTAATCCTTTGCAATACGAGTATAAACGTAGTCTTTATGATGTGGAGCTTCTTCGAGTTTGAGACACCTTGTATCAGTTGCTGTTTTCCCATGTCTTAGGGGTCACTTGAAATATGTAAATCGCCATTTTGCTGTGGCTGCCATATTGGATTTAAAATGACGCCACTTTGCTTATTGTGTTCCTCTCATCAAACCCTTTCTTTTGATACCCATATTATAGATATCACTAGGGAAATTATGTAGCATACGCCGTATTTGATTCAAAATGGCGGCAGTTAATTCATTTTGTCGCGCAAACCAAACTTGTGTAAAAAATTTCAGCTCAGTTGGTTAAGGTTAACTGATTCAAAATTTAGTTCCAAGATTTGTCCCACACATATATTCCGTTTAAAATTAAAATTCAAATATTTATATCATTATTTAAAAAACATACTAACATACAAACAGTTGAATAAAAGCCTGTAAAAATTATCGAGGACCTTTACAGCTATGCATATTTGGCGGTATTCGACAGTAAAGCAAGTGATCTGGTTACAATATATTAACAAAATGTGGAGTTTTTATGTTAGCACGTCACTTTCCTTATGGTATGCTATAAAATCGCATGCTCCCCAATAGTGAACTCACCAGTCCTCTTTTCTTACAAAACTGTATAGTACTTATAAACTTGAAAATATCTTCTATTGTTGGTGCATGACACTCAGGAATGGGTATGTAAGTCCGTTCAAACTCGGTGTCTGTCAAGTCTGGAATTTTTTCTGGGCTTAAGGTAATTATATGTCTGATACCTGAAATGAAATCAAACATAAAACCATAATAGCTTGTGCTCCCATTCAGAATAGAATAGACGCATTTTATATTTTTAAATAATTAGCGTAAATGATGCTATTTAACTTCGTCTAGAATAAAATAGAACCAACTCACTCGACGATGAACTGAAGCTTGAAAAAATAATTACGAATAAATCCTTGCATGATTTAAAACTTTACTAATTGAGGTTCGTAAAATAGGGCATCAAGCATATAAATCGTCATCTCTGCCAACTCCGGGAAAACTCCCTTTAGTTCTGTTTTCCAGAAAAATTACCTAGAGGTTCAATCGTACATGACGTTCTTCAGGGTGATTCCAAAACAACTTCTAGTACAATTTTCCATATAGTGCAATTGCAATAAAAAGGCGTAGATTTTGTGAGAGCCCTAATTGACAAAAAATGTATTTGGGGCTCTGGTGTAAAGCTGTTTGTCAACTGATTGCAATAGCTTTTGATACGTACTCAGATACTATATATACTAACAGTATATAATATTACCTCACGAAGTCAGGTAATCTCATTATGCTCGTATATATACAAAGTGTCCCAGATTCGCTTCTCTATACAGGGATCTCGGCTCCTGTTATACCTAAAGCAAAGGTTAAACGGGGAAAGTTTGCATTCGATAGCCGGCTTCAGATTTACGATTGGTCAGTTGGTTTCGAAAATATCGGCAAGAGACCGAAAATGTCGAATTTTATGTTTTGCCAGTAAATCCGAAACGGTTAATTTTACTGTCAAAATCTGACATTATTCGAACATTCTTTTAAGGCAAATAAGATAGCGTGTATGACATGTCTCAACCGCCTTTTGTTTTCCTGCAGCCTGCCTTAACTTTCATTTTTCTTATGGCCGCCATATTGGATTTTTTGATTTTTGGAAACAGCGTAAAACTTCCAGCCTAGTGATGCCCCACAAGTGTATGAAAGATTGATGTATCATCGGAAGATCATCACACGTGATGTTATGTATTAATTTTCTTCTAAGCGACATGATCTACGAGTCCCTTCCCACTTCAGTTGGCCCACTTCACGATTTGTACCAAAATATGCCTTTATAAACAACACAACAATTTATTTTCTCAAAAACATTTTAGATACACTCTAGTCGTAAAAAATACATATTTGAAATCACTTAGACCTATAACTAATAGAACATCTGAACAAATAAACAATGTGCGAATAAATGCGCGAAGTTAACAAAGCAACAATTAAAAGATTACCATTGGGTAACATCACCTTTGTTTTTTATTACGGCTTAAATTCTTTGGGGCACAATGTAAACCAAGTTTTGGCAAAAATTTGGTGTAAAACAATCCTATATTTCTTGAAGCTTTTGTCTCAGTTCCGTGATTGTACGAGCAGGATGTTGTCGTAGAACCTTTTTCATCTCGTGTCACAAAGTTTCAATAGGTGACAGATCTGGACTGCTAGAAACCCATTTCAAAAGTGGTACATTATTTTCATAGATTCATTTTATAGCCTTTTTTGAGGTATGGCACGCTGCACCATCTTGCTGAAACACAAAATCTTGGCCGGATGTCAAACATTCTTCCATCACTGGTAAAAGCGATTCTTCTAAAATTGCCAAATATTTGTTTGTATCCACATTTCCATCAATAAAATGAAGTTTTCCTACCCCTTTTGATGACATACTGCCCCAGACCATAATGGATGCTGGAAATTTCACTTTTCTCTTCAGTCAACATGGAATGCTTCATTTTCTTGCGAATCTCTATTGCGACCGTCACCAACCCAAACTTCGAATCGGGCCTCATCACTCCAGTGTATTGCACACCATTGTCGAGGTGTCCATTGTCTATGTTCTTTAACCCATCTAAGCCGATTTTTCTTTTGCAGTGGAGTTAATAGTGGCTTTTCTTTGGCCTATAAACAAGTTGTGCAACTTTAGGGTTTTTACTTCACTTTCTTTTATAAGAAAACCTATCTTGCAAGTGCTAAATCAAAGTTTGTGGGCCCCTCTATGAGTTGTCGACCTCGAAATTCTCCTTCCAACAGCGTCACTCCACAGAACACTTAATTGTAAATAATTGACAGGCCTGTATTTCACGATTATTCTTCATAATGCTCTTCGGTCGGCATTTGTGATATTACTTTTTTTCACATATCGTGGCTTAATATTAACTGAACCAGTTACGTTAAATCTTCTAACAATATTTCTCACACTGTACCGCGATAAGTCTTACAAAGTTACAATTTCTGAGTTTGATTTCCCAGAATTACAAAATTTAATTATCCGTAACCGAATTTTCTCACTAATAACCTTTCCTCTACCCATTTTGAAAACCTTAACTACCCAAAACTATTTTAAACGTATTACGACAGCTGTGATTAATAAAAACAATTGTCATGGCTTTTATTTTTCACAGCCACCTATGCGTTATAGACTTATTTTGCATTTAAATGAAAATAGGTGATATGCTGTAATTGCAACATGTGTTATTTTTATGCTGCAAATTTGATTAGGGAGTGATAAAGTTGGTGTTTTCTACTATATATTATCAAAATATTCATTGTTAATATTTTAAACCTATAACACCCTGATACATTTTTATTATTTGTGTTTGATAAGAAAAAAAACTAAGATTTCAATAGTTGGGCCAACTGAAGTGGGAAGGGGCTCGTATTTGTAAGAAAATAAAATTAATAAGTAACGCATTTTTTCATCTAAGAAGGTCTCAGTTGGACGTTAAATAATTCAAAGTATTAAAATTGTGTTTAAAAGTTTCAACAAGATGGATGTCTCGCTCACAACACCATTCAAGTCAGGAACTTCTTAAGAGATCAGTTTGATGATAGAATAATTTTATTAAAATGGTTCAATATCTTGGCCTCCTACATCCTGAGACAAAGAATGTTGAGCACAGTTATAAACATTATCAGAAATACACTAGCTAAGGTTGTACGAAAAACAGTCACCAATTGTCAAAAATGTCTGGATGCAATTGCATCTGTAAATTAACACCCACTTACATGATTAGATTTTACATTACATTACAATTTTGTAAAATGTTTGTTTGTTCAAGTGCAAGATAAATTTACGACGATTGTATCACACTTATAGTTGAGAATTTGCCCCAAAGCATTTGACCTGTTGAGAAGTCAATTTTAACGTTAATATTCTATGGAATATAATGTTATTTTCTGAAAAATAAATCATTACCTCCTTAGACAAAAGACTAATACATACACACATGTGATGATATTTCGGTGGTACTCCAATCTTTTACGCACTTTTGAAACATCACTAGACTGGAAATTTTACACCTTTTTCACAAATCCAAAAATCCAATATGGGGGCCATAAGAGAAATCAAAGTTGAGGCGGGTTGCTGGAAAACAAAAGACGATTGAGACATGTCATACATGCTTTCTACTATACTATTCGTCATTATTCGTCAGTACGGTCCGGTGGATCTTTGCTCTTAGTTGAAAGTGTCGTCGGTCTGCTGGTATGTCAGGTCTGGCTACCCAGATACTAAACATGTTTAAGGGGAAAAGGGAAGGAAGGAAAGAAATGAAGGAAGAAATAGATCCAATAAAAGAAGTAAATCATTAGAAATAGCTTAAGCATTATTGCTTTGACTACTCCAATTATTTTGTAGCTCCAAAAAATAATTTTGATCGGTTTTATTTACTGAAAATACTTAGGCTGGTCTGACATGCTTATTTTTCTTAAAAAAATGACCGAATAGTGTCACAGTTTGACAGCTGTCAAATTAACCGTTCTGGATTTACAGGCAAAAATAAATTCTGTCGTTTTCAGTTTTTCGCTAGTATTTTCAAAACCAATTCACCGATCGTAAATCTGAAGCTGGCTAACGGATGTACTAAGTTTCCTCTAAATTCTTTGCTGAAGGTATAACAGGAGACGAGTTCCCTGTATAGAGAAGCGGAGCTAGGACTCACTGTAAATATCGCGTGCTCCTCGTATATGCATATCGCGGCACCGCTTCGTCTGCTACCTGTTTTATCAGTCCCTCCGATCCACTACCAGGAACAACCCCGTGGCGCACCGCAGAAGCGGCAGATAAGTACGCGATCCGTCTGCTGAGGAGACGTTCAGACGTCGAGGCAGGTAGGTGTACGTTCATCGAGCTGCCTGGGACGCGTTTATTGAGAATGTATCTCATTCGAGTTTTAAGTACAAATGTACGGGAAATAAAAATGTGAAATATAGGAGCGTAGAATTACTGAGAAAGTGTATCAGTATACTAACATCAAAAAATTCACACATACACATACACTTCGTCCTCGGCATAGTAGAAACCTTTTGTTAAAATTTCATCCAAATCCGCACGGGTATCACGTATCTTGAAAAGTGACATAATGCCGATTCTTTTTGACATTATGCTGTTATTTTGACATTATGTATGTTGTTCTACAAGATATTAAATTTCAAGCAGCTCTACAGCGTGCAGCGGTATTTCCTGTACAACGACACGGCAGACCTTTTTTGCCTGCGGACATTCGTCAGAAAATCTCTGACAAAAGAGCCGCTATTAAGCAGGCAAAAAGGTCTTGTCATCCTGATGACATTCGTAGGGCTACAAATCTTGTCCATGAAGTGAGAAACGCACTGCACGAACTCCGCAACGAGCAATGGAGCGACTTTCTGGCGGGAATGCTTGATTCAAGTATTCCTCTCTGGAGGGTCGCAAAGTCACTCAGAAACGGAAAGCGAGAACAACTCCCACACATCCACGGTCCTGAAGGCATAGTCTTCAGAACGGAGGATAAGGTCGAGGTTTTCGCTGATGCCATGGAAAAACAGTTCTCTCCCAACTATGATCTCGATAATAACCTCGACGAGGAACAGCACATCGTACGATCCGTCAGGAGATATTTTAGGGCCAACGGCGTTAGCGGAGGCACTGAATCCTCTTCAGATGACTTTTCTTCAGAAGATTCGTCTGAGGCTCCACATAGCACATTAGCGGAACCCTCCGAGTTTCTAC